CGTCTAATGGAAAGTGTATTTTCAACACACAGTAGGTTTTTCAGTTTGGTTCCAATGTGCAATTTTTACTACTCCAGTCTATTTCGAGCAGCCAAGCTAAGAATCTTTATAGAAAGATGTTTGTGAGTGTTGAGTCTGGCTCTAATTTCCGACACAATATGTTCTTCAGTCTTCCCCTTTCTCTTTGGCCTTGACGATTTCACGTTCGGGTTTGCCTCGCGATGCAGTTTGATTTCGGCAATGTAAGTCCGTCAACGTCTTTTCCTAATTTCCTCTTCAACTGCAAACTACGTCTGTTTTCTGTCATAGTAGGTAGTTGTTGATGGTACTCGATCAACTGAAATTGAGTATCCTGTGTTGTCAACTGTTTATAAATACATGTACGTACTTGATGATGGTTGTGGTAGTCCTCCACGTTTTTCATTTTCTTAAAGTAGAACTGTCGTGACGTTTGTATTGAAGATTCTGTGATGCTGACCGGTAGTTGTTTTGAGTACCAAATGTTCTTTAATAGTAAGTGTGCTGAACTTGCTTTACCGATTGGTGCCTTTACATCTGCGTCAGATCCTATTTGTTTGTTCTCAAATTCGTTGAGTTTGTTAATATCCCGAGAGAAGGCTGTACTAAACTCTCGTAGTGCTGTCTGTCCAGTTAACCAATGCTTCTTTAGCTACAGTTTAAGCTTGCCCATCACCAGATGGTGATCCTTACTTTGTTCTTACGTCTGCCACGAATCTACAGGATCGTTGTCTGACTCCATTCTGATTGTTTTCAAACGATGACAACGAAGCACATATACCGTTTTCGATGTACATTAAAGTTAAGTACTCTAGAAATTGATCGAAATGGGTTATCCACGAGAAGAAACATTTACATGTAACAAACAAGGAAATGGCAACATCGATGGCTAGTGATAAACCACTTTATCTAAAGCTGCAATTCAACGGAGATGGAGGTGTGCTACATAATTATGGCAGTAAATCGATGTGTTAAAAATATCAGTCATAGAGCAGTTTGCCTAGTAATGAGTAAACTTGTGGGCTCTGAATTTTCGGAAATAGACTAGGTCATTGATGATTTTCATTTCAACGTGATTCAGAGCTTCATTGAATTTTATAGAATTGGTTTTGTGTGATGATCTTGATGGATTTTGTAGCTTATCGATTCATGTCACAAAAGAACAAATATGCAGATAATTTACTGTTATGTTGGTGAGAAGTGGACAATTGAATGTGGTGCTGAAATAACACAAGCAGTAATTGGAACATGTTCCTAAATAGTCGAAAGGCTTCCGGAAGCCTGAAGAAAACTCAACGATAAGACCAGACTCATCGGGGACGAAATTACAAACTGACCTAAATAGAATAGTCTTGACGTTTGTATTGAAGGTTGTGACTTTGATGTTGACCGGTAGTTGTTTTGAGTAGCAGATATTCTTCGACCGTGGTTATGCTGGACTTGTTCTAACAATTGGTGCGTTCATATCTGCGTCAGATTCCGTTTGTTTATTGATGGTGCTAACTAGGTATGTAGAGCTTCCCACCTCTTCCACAGCTTCTCCATCAAGTGTGATTTGGTTAGTGCCCACGGTCGTTCCTCACGGAATCCGGAGTGCCGATTTCAAATTTGGACGTCTACTGAATCCTCCATCCGGTTCAACAACACTCTATTAAAATCTTTTCCTAGTAGTGCCTGTAGTGTGATTCCTTTTCTATTCTCACACTTGCTGAGATCTAATCTCTTTGTTATCTTGATGATGTGTGCTTCTTTCCAGTCTCCTGATTCATCTTCTTCACTTTATTTTGTTTGGTGTCTGTTGATTGCTGTCTTCCCATTCGTGCTTTCTGGAATGTTGATCAGAGGTTCAATAGAGGTCCATTGTTTATGATGGTGCTTCTTGAGACCCACCATCCAACAACTTCAATTTTTCGGTCACCTCCAAGTTATATGTGTACATTCTCTCCTAGTATCTCGGGTTGTGCGTGCGTTCCATACGTAGTAGTTAGCATCGTACTCCGGTCAGGCAAATGCCATGTGAATCCCGTCAAACGTGCCGCTCAATAATCGACTGTCAATTACGTATATCAAGCAGGGAAGAAAAAGGTGGTTTTTAAATTTAAGCAGTGATGTACATTCAATTACTTGTAATCAATACATATATATACATTCCGTTTGGTACCTCGTAGACTCCTGAATTATTGGTTTTAAGTAAAGATTGGTAAATCATTTTGTCAGGTGACTCTTAAGAGGGTCGTGTTGAATGTTTTGAATGTATGATCATTTCTATCAGGAAATTTATTGAACACGTACAGATTAGTTTTTATTCACAGCAATTAAATAAAATCTTTCTACATGAATGTGAGTATTTCCACTGACGATTATGTCGATAACACTTTGTCAGCGTCTAGTCACCAGATGATTCGTCAGTACTCCATGAAAGAAAAAGACTTTGTCTGGTACAGATTCCCTAAAAGTCCTCATTCAACTCTTCATTTACTTCCAGAATTTCAAGAAGTCGATTCATGTTGGCGTTTGATATATAGGTACCACGATGACTACCCCTGGAAGTTGATGCATCTGGGACAATATCGCTGACGAATTTATCGATTCCTAGAATCTCATCATCCTTTACATTAGACAGTACCCTGATTAGACCTTACGGATGATTGTTATTGTGAAGTGAACAGAAAGAGTACATCTCGGAGACTGAACTCGGATCAGTAGATAAATCGATGAGACTAGACACTAGGTGGAGTAGTAAATTTACGACCTGCTAATAGCTGTGTCGAGCAATCATTTCAAATGTTGATCTTATTAAATTACAATGGTTTGTACTGTTCAGTAGTTCATATTCCACATTAATGTCAGTCAGTGTTAGTTGCTATATGAACATTCTATGCTGAATGATCTAATATTACGCATATCATAGTAACTTTCGGAAAGTAAGATGAACAATGAACTACCATTCTTAGTGTTTAGTGAAAAGGGATTTTAATAAAAGCTTAGATCTAGTCATATGTCGAAAACCGACACATTCGAATCGGTATATTGATTTTAACTCCGCACATCCATTCACTGCACAATTCTCCTTAGCTCTAAATCTCTTCAGAAGAGCAACCAAAATCATTACTTCAGAAGGCAAGCTGAAAATGAATATAGAAAACACCCTACGTCTCAACATTTTTCACAAAATATTATTAAAATCGTATTTAAACAAAACTGTCCTTCAGTAAATAAAAATCCTAATGAAATTTCTTGGACTGGTACTACGGTTTAACTTTGCCACCAAGGTACAACAGAGGAATTACAACGGATATTAAAAATTTACAAAATTAAAGCTTTCTATGAGACAACTAACACCCTAAGAAACGCTTTAGTTAGAATTAAAGATAAAATCCCGTTCATTTCCACTCGAAATTTTGTCTATAGATTAGGCTATGTTGATTGTGATGCGTTCTATATTGGAGTCTTTCCGTGGATCTCGACTCGTGCCAAAGAGCATTTAAGTTATACAAAAAGACCTGCTAATAATTCTGTAGAATTGGAAAATTTACAAGTTAAAGCAGCAATAGCAGTGCATGTTATTTTCAATAATTACCAAGCTGATATCAAACATATCAAAATAATACAGAATGGCTTTTCCAACTACAAAACAGAGGCGAGTAGCCGAAGTGTGCCCTCAATAGGAAAGAAGGCCTAAGCATTCATCTAACCTGGACTGTTTTTCCAGACAAACACCTTCGACTTTAGTTTTATTATTTCACAATTTTTTCTGCTCATTTGGATACAACAAAAATATATCTATTATTAAGATTATAAATGTTTGAATAAATGACTAGTGAATAATGTATGGTTGAATTAATTTTTAATGTCAGTTGACATAGTGAGATGGAATTTAGAATGAAACTAGATAAAGTAAGATGAGAGAAATAATTGTGCACTAATCAATTAGAAAGGATATACAACCAAGGATTGAGTAATTCATGAGTACGTACGAAATAAGGAGTTATGTTGTAATGAACGAAGACTTGGTGGGAAAACCAATTTATTATTTAATGCAAAATTACAGTGCCTTCATAATGTATGAAAATCATACATTAAACACATTATCCGCACATGTTCCTTCAGTTATCCTTTACAAGCTTTAGGGTTCTTTCAATTCTGTTGTTACTTCATTAGCTACCTATTTCACTTCATGTTACGGTAAATTCAATCTTCTGTTGCTGCTACATACTACTTATATCTGTCAGCATAAGTAGCATGCACCACAATATAACGGAATTACTGGTAGATAAACTGATGCTTAGTATATATATATATATATATATATATATATAAATGGAACAGGATGTAATATAATACAAAATTGAACGGAGTAATTGGGGAAATACACCGTGGTATAATTATATTACACAAACAGGATACAATAATGGTATATGAACAAAAAATTATTATTATCCGTATGCGTAGGTGCAAAATAAAGGGTACGCTCATAATGATACACTGGACTGTCAAATGAGTATATTTTAGCTAAATGTTCTACATATGTATCATAATAAGACTGCTGAAATCTTTGTTTCCATTTTAGCAGTAAATAACACCAAAATTCTTACTCCGTAAATTCAAAGTATTTCAACTTCGCTGATAATCATAGTTTGTGATGGTTAGATTATATGACTAAAGTAAGAACAATTAATGTAGCAGAATAACATGAATTCATCACATTTCACGGTTTCTCGTCAGCTACTTACAGCCCTAACGTAGTAACATTAATCTTTAATAAATCCATGTCATGCTGCTATACTAATTGTTCTTGCTTTAGTTATTGATAATTGAGAAGATTTGTATGTAATGGATACATCAATCGTAAACATAATGTATGTTAATAATTTTCCGCTAAATATTCACAAGCACTAATAATTTGCAAGTTGATTATGCAGGATGGAAAGTGAATGAAGTAGTCAAAATAGGAAAACAAAAAAACATGTGAAAAGAAACAATCACGCAACATTTTGTTTCTCAGTTAAATCACGGAGAAACTTGTCAATCACTGGTGTACCTAGATGTTTGCCAAGTACACTGCCGATTTTACCATCAGATAATACTGAAGTCAGTTTAATGCTGTGAAACTTCGGATCATTACAGTTAACATTATTGACCGGAATGGTGTTAGTGAATTCTGATAAAGGAGCACGTTGTCCACTTTTTCTAGTCATACTACTAGATTTCACATTGAATAAGGATGATGAAGAAAGCAGCGTAACAGTATTAACTAAGCGTTTACAAATGTTTATAATATCAGTTATCAGATTGTTAGATTTTTTAGCACAATATAATCGAGGTATCCAGTAACTTGTTATGTGAATTAATCGAATAGAGGGCAACTGATTGTCTAAATGATGAGAAAGACAATCTACTAAATGAAAGGAAGGGAACAAAACCCAACAAGGCAGAAAATTAAAGAATTTAGATTTATTCTCATCCCCTGCTAAACAGTTTAGTAATGAGACAACGGTTTGTAATTCGTTGTAGATATGTTGAATTGCAATTAGGTTTGATAAGTTTTGTTCCGTAACAGATTTCGTAGAAGATAATGGAGACTGATTTATTGACGAAGCACGTTCGTAAGCAAGTGATGTTTCGTTTCTGATGAAGTTAATCCACCGCGTGTAGTGTTCGTATAAATTGCTACTCATGAAATCAATATTGAAAACATTGACTACAGCACAAGTTGCAATAGCTAAACCAATTGGGGAATTTTCGAAATGACGTTCATGGCCTTCGTCGGCATTATTGATATGTTGTTGATGCCAAAATGCTAAAGTTACAGCCAAAGTAAAAATCCAATCAGGTTGGGATGTGTGTTGCGGAAGAGGGATATTCAACTGACTGCTTACTATTTCATCCACTGAATTACTTTTATTCGAATTCATAAGAGGACTAATTGTGAGAGGGAGCTCGGTTAACATATCATCACTGACCCATGTGTACTCAGTTATATTTGGATTTAGTTTTACACCTGCACAACGCTCTAATCCGTAAAGAATTCGGTAAACAAGTAATCGTAAATTGACGGAGTAAGCATGAACTGACAGAAACGGTTTTTTAATGGAGTGGTGTAAAATATCAATAATAGCTGGAGAAAGTCTAACCTTTCGATACAGTTCTATCAAATTAAGAGGCCAATCATGAGTAAAATTGAACTTTATTGGCTGTTTGGCGTTGAGTTGATTGGTCAGACGACTCATATGTTGCAAGCTTATTGAAGCATTAGTTTCTTCACTAATCTCAATCAGCCTACCCTCAGGTACATTGGAACTGGGGTTTACCAAACAAAAGTGAGATGCTATTTCATGTCCACTTTCTAGAACATTATCCATGAAAGCCGCAATACAATCAAGAAGATACTCAGTCACGCTTTGTCGTTCTTCAGTACGATGTTCTTGAATAACATACTCATAAAGTGTAACATAATTTACATTGGATGAATTTACCAACCAGTTAACTAGAACAAACCATTCATATAAATGAGGACTAGTGTAGTTGGAGTAATCTGTCTTACTATATTTTAACTGCTTACATACATTAGCACGTACCTCGGATCGCCCAGCATACAGTACACTTAATAGAGGTCGTAAATGGGGTACAACTGACGAAATACGAGAAAACTTTTGGTGGAAAACATGAGACAAAATAATAGCATCATTTTTGCAGCTAAAAAAATCTAGGAGATGGATCGGGACGTAGATTAATTCTTGCATAATATTTGCTTCAGTTTTAGTAGCTTGAGCAGGAAACATGTAGTAAATATCATAACTGGATGCTATAAACGGACAATGTAAATATATGGATAATGAAGCAGCATCAAACTGAGCTGAATACAATGATGTCATGTATTTTATTTGAAAGAATGACAACACATCTGCAAATGATGATTTGTAACGATTGATTACGGACCACATCTGATTATTGTAGCGTGATTGGTTCTGCTGAAAAAGGAAAAGAAAGATGAGATAGGAAGTAAAATAGGGGTACTGACTGGTTAGCAAATAGACAAGGTGGGAGACAAAGAAAATCTAAGTCAAAATACTTAGATAAAAGGTGGCAAAGGAGATACAGCATTGGTGTTTAATTTACACAGTTATCCAAATATGAAGCAGAGGTCTAGGTATTCAGTTTACAAGCATTTATTCATGGTTTGAATCGTGTCAAATAGTGAAGAATCTAAAACTAACTAACGAAGGAAACCAATGCGATCTTCAACTAGAACTGTGTACAAACGAACCAAGTAGTCGGGTAAATGTCATAGACACAGAACTCATATGGGCTGATCAGTGATTCAGACATAACAATGAGAAATTTGACAACCACTATGTACGCTTAGGGTTTTTAAAATCGACATGCGTTAACTAAATAGTTTTACCTCTATAAATTGACTCGACTCAAAAAAATATAAGGTTATCTGCTCATTTGAAACTAGGTCGAAGGATTTCAGCAGAAATAAGTTTTCTTACCACCAAAGCTACGGTCTTGGATTCGCTTTAATTGTTTTCCTTAGTATGGAGATGAAAATTTATTAATTACACACAGATGTAGGAACAGGTTGGAAGAAATCTAGGCGCCAACGACTGGTTCATACGCCATTTGTTCCCTCAGGATACTGGAGCCCATGTGCACCATTGGTTTGGAATTAGTTTTTCAATTCCCCTAGGTGGACTCTCCATGTCCACCAACCCGGTTAAAGCGCCGGACATTCGCTTTTCGTCCTCTCAATTTCGTAAACAACACGAGAAGGCAGTGAGTAAGACTTCCCTGGCAGAGGCTATATACGCGTGGCCGTGTGAGGGCATTTCGACAGGGTGAGTGGACTCTCCCTACTCTCGGTCGTACCAGGGCATTTAGGGGCACACTTGAACTGAGCCACAATTGCTAGGTGTAGGTTACCTGGTTGAGATCCGCGAGACGATAGCAATTGATGGTTAGAGACCTTGAATGACATGGATCAAAATCGTTTGCAATGGCGCACGTTCATCCACTCTTTGTGTTCTCCCAAATTCTCATTTGAGTTTTTCATGTCCCTTTTTATCATTCCAAACTTATTTCAGTGGATTAAACTTCTTGAATAACACCTTCAAACGGTCATCTTTCCGATTACTGCTTATACTTTTACTACATCTACCACTATGGGATTGGAATCGACAATTGTATGTTTGTGCTGTGGTATGGCAACTCGAACTGATGCATGTACGTACGAAGTTCTACGTTGTTGCTGACTGAATGAATCACACACAGGTAGAGATAAACATTATGATGCTAGTTGACAGGTAATAACAGGGGAAATGTGAATATGAAGAAGAGTAAACTACAAAGTTTACTTTGATGGTACTTGCTACCTAAAATATACCACAACGTGGCAACAACATTCACACTTGATAATATTCTAATACATGATTTATTTTTTGTAAGGTTTTTTCGATTCATATTCTAGTTGTTTATCCGAATATTTTTTGTTTCAAAATGTGACACTTTGAACTTGTATATTTTGGTGCATTTCAAGTCAGAACGTTGACTGTATGTGGTAGTATCAGCATGTAAGTAAATATCATCACACCAAGTTGAATGTTTTTCATTTCTTTCTAAGCTTCCATCCACCTTTACAAACAAAACCTCTGATTTCAGTCTAGATAACTTTATGCCCCCAAATGCCCTGGTACGGCCGAGAGTGGGGAGAGTCCGCTCACCCTCTCAAAATGCTCACACATAGCCACGCGTATATATCCCCTGCCAGGGAACTCCTACTCACTGCCTTCACGTGGCGGGGGTGTTGTTTACGAAAATGAGAGGACAAAAAGCGAATGTCCGGCGCTTTAACCGGATCCCAAACCAATGGTGCACATGGGCTCCAGTATCCTGAAGGAACAAATGGCGGATGAACCAATCGTTGGTCACCGGCTACCATGGGATTGCATCTCCTTACGATGCTCCACTGCCTTGTGGGTCAGACATTCAGGTCGAAGGCTCGGGGTGTGGCCCCCTAAGAAAACCACCTGCTTCGGTTTGGGCACCCGGGCAGTATCACAGCCCTCACATTTATCAAATGAGATCTGTGTGGCGCATATGTATTTGGTGCCTCCTTGTACCAACATCTATGTGTTGAAATAAAATAAATAAAATAAAGATAACTTTATACTTAGAATATATTTATACTTCGATCTAATGGATTCTTAAAATGAATCGAACGAAAATCGCATACGTTTTTCAACATATTTAGCCTAACGATTAAGGGGTCAATTGAAGTTTGGATATAGTGACGGTCATTTTGAATACGTAACAAGTTTATATTGCTTGATTTCAGATTAAGTGACAGAGTCGTTATTTTAGAAAGTGGAGTAGGCCAACCTCTAATGACAGTTCTGAATGTTTACCTGTACCCATTGAGTCTCCTTTTACGTGAGCAAGATGTCAGTGGATAAATTTAGATAGTCGGGAGACAGTAAGTCAGAAAGCTTTCAAACCGTTATAAATAAATTAGCACCATGTAGCTGTTATAAATGATGGGCTGGTAGGGATGAGTGGACTAATTCAAATAAAGATAATACAGAGGGTGATACATAAATATTTGCAACAAAAGTTTCACTTAGAGAAATAATATATTTAAAAATAAAACTTACTCCAACTTTAGTGCAACCATCAAAAATGAAGAGTGGTTGAATGTCACACATTTGTACTTGGCTTATCAACTTAGAAGCCGTCATTGAGAAAAGAAGGAACTCATTATGATCATTATCTTTAAAACCAATTATGTTCTTCAATATAAAATGAATAAAGTCATCGCCATGTATAACAACAACCGTTTTTTGGAGAAGTGATACTTCGAAATTAAAATAACTCTTTGAAAGGAAGAGACCAAGATTATTTCGTGCGATCATAATTGTCGTTCAAAAACTAGATAAATAAGACAAAGATGTTGTGTAGATGTCAAGTTGCTCAATGACGTGTATGTTTTACAAAGTATATACTACGTGCTATATGAGAAGCCATGTTAGTTAAAAACATCCCACATTTATCAGGTATGGTCGTTTTAAATAACCTTTACAATTAAGCCACCCACTACATTCTATCTCGATTAAAAATCGACTTGTAAAACAACTCTCGGTTTTCAACTTTTATATTTACACTGTATTTCCCTTTTGAATGTCCTGTTTTTAAAGACCAAGTTTTACAGTCATAAAGTAGAACACAGGGAACTACTGGACAGTATACTCATACTTTAGTCAAGACGGACAATTCGTTTACACCAAGAATAACGCTAGCTGATAAAAGTCATCAAAGCTTTTTGAATCCGCGTTGGAATTTTATTAGACACCGACACAGACCTGATGAGGCTTCCAAAATAAATAAAGCGTTGGACGAACCCAATTAGTTTAGATGTGGGACCGAGAACAGATGGTAGTTTAATCTACCTCACACCAATAGTACCGTGAATATAACGAGATAAACGTTAAGAAAATCTAAACAGTAACACTAATAATGGTAAGGAAAAAATATACGGGATATAGTTTGAAGGCAGATAGGTGAGATAGTATATTACTCGATAAATATAAAATGTGGCCTTGGAAAATAGAGGATGTGTGGATTATATTTCCGGAGTAGCATGTATTTGGTTGATTGGTTCATATTGATTATAAGTGCAGAATACTATGTAAACCACCATTACACGATATAGTTTGAGTAATCGATTTTATGAAGACCTTAGTCTAGTTAATCACAGGAATTCTTTTTTCAGTATTCTTGCTTACTTACGCCTGTTATTCCGAATGGAGCATAGACCACCAACCAGCATTCTCCAACCCACTCTGTCCTAGACCTTCCTTTTTACTTCTATTCAATTGTTGTTCATTCTTCTCATGTTTGTCTCCATTTCTCAGAGTAATGTGTTCTTTGGTCTTCCTGTCCTCTTTTGGCCTTCAGGATTCCATTTGAGGGCTTGCCTCGTGACGCAGTTCGGTGCTTTCCTCAATGTGTCCTACCCACCTCCAGAGCTTCTCCCTGATTTCTTCCTCCGCTGGGATCTAGTTTGTTCTCTCCCATAGTAGGTTGTTGCTAATAGTGTTCGGCCAACGGATTCGAAGTATTTTGCGTAAACAGCTGTTAATAAACACTTGTATCTTCTGGACGATGGCTTTCGTAGTTCTCCAGATTTACGCCCCATACAGTAGAACTGTCTTGACATTTGTATTGAAAATTCTGACTTTGGTGTTGGTTGACAGTTGTTTTGAGTTCCAGATATTCTTCAATTGCAGATACGCTGCTCTTGCTTTGCTGATCCGCGCCTTCACATCTGCATCAGATCCACCGTGTTCATCAATGGTGCTGCCCAAATATGTAAAGGTTTTTACATCTTCCAAAGCTTTTCCATCAAGTGCGATTCGATTGTTGCATGCTGTGTTGTATCGGAGAATCTTGATTTTCCCTTTGTGTATGTTGAGACCTGCTGCTGCTGATACACTGGTCGTCTTCTGCATTTGTTGTTGTGTGTACGATAAAAGAGCCAGATCATCTGAGAAGTCTAGATCGTTCAGCTGCATCCTATCTGTCCACTGTGTTCCATGCTTCCCTTCAGATGTTGACGTTTTCATGAACCGGTCGATCACCAAGAGAAAGAGGAAAGGTAGGAGAAAGCAACCTTGCCTGATATCGGTCTTTACCTCGAACGAATCTGCCAACTATCCTCCATGCACAACTTTGCAGTTTGATCATCATAGGAATTTCGTATGATATTGACTATCTTCTGAGGCACGCCGTTATGTCAAAGAAGCCTCAATAGTGTCGACCTGTCCACGCTATCAAACGCTTCTTCGTAGTCATTGAAGTTTATGAAGAGTGAAGAATTCCATTCCCTAAAGCATTGTTATACAATTGTTTTTCAGTATAAATAAAGATAAATATTGGCCAATAGAGGTTATTGGAATACTGCAACCTTAACAATTAAACCCAATTGGGGAAAATTTTTACCTATTTTGGGGAAATTTAGGTGAAAAATTAGCCTATTTTGGGGTTTTTGTGCCATTTCCCCAAAATTTACCCAGAATTTCACCTAAATTGTGAGCTCGGGAAGAAACCATAGTGGTAAAAAGGTAACAAATCGATAATTGATAAGTTCTAGAAAAATGGCTTTAAACTTGATATACGTTAACAAAAAAACTTTAAAAAAATCAAGTCCATCAGATTAACTATCAAGCTTGTTTTCTAACTACAGTATCAAAAAAAACCAGCAGAACACTGAAATACATATAGAAACGGATCACTACCCGTAATTTTGGACAAGTTACGCAGATTATTTTTCTCCGTTGAGGAATTTACTCAGCTTTATTCTTACTGAAGTATATCATTTATTTTCCATGAATTCAGCCTGAAGTACCGGAAAAATTATAAATTTTGTGGACTACCCCTGAGCTCCCAATTTTGGGGAAAAGGCACAAAAACCACAAAATTTCCCCAAACGTTGGGAGCTTCGGCCCCTATACTTCTTTAATTTATGCGATCACTTTGTGGCGTAGTTCCAAACTTTTCTGGCACAATCATTAATTGTAAGCGGATGTTTTCTTCACTTGCTGCAAACGATTGTCTCTAACCAACCAATAAAGGTGAAACAAAAGGGGACAAAAGGAAAATAATGGGGAAACGCGCCAAAATGTTTGCTCCCTCGCTTGTCCGGGGGAAATAATGCAAATTTTCCCTGTCACTGTTTCAAATGTTGCTGAATTGTATGCTTTTCGCCTAAATACACACCGAACCGTCTACTTTTCAATCCCTGATCAGGGACTGAATTGTTATTTTCGGCCACTAATAGTAGAGATATAAATACGGTTATATGTTTCAAAGGAGAAGTTCGAGCTATGTGTGCAAAACACTACAGCAGCTTAGACAAAATATAAATCAGAGGACAAAGGAAATAGTTAAATAAATACTTTATACCGCTATTGTATACAAGCAACGGAATATTGCGTCAATTCGATATACTTAAACAAGGCAGACGTCGATACACTGTAGTTTTACTGGCATTTTTCTCTAGACGTTGCAAAACACTGAATCGAGGTACGGTATATTCGGTAGGGAACTCTTAGCTATGTATTGTGCTGTACGGCATTTTCAACACTCTATCGAAGGCCGAGAATTCACATTTTTTACTGACCATAAACCTCTTACTTTCTCTTTAAGCTCCTCTTCAGACAAGTACTGACCTCGTGAGTTTCGACAACTGGACTATATTTCGCGGTTCACTTCAGATATTCGACACATTTCTGGAGCAAACAATGTAGTCGCAGACGTCTTGTCTCGAATAACTTCCTTGAACAGTTTCCAAGGAATCGACCTTCTGAAACTCACCAAGCTTCAAAAAGAAGACAATGATCTTCAGCACAAGTTTTTCTCAACAACACTTAAACTGTGAATTAAACTAATGGGGAACAGGTAAGGAAACCTTACTATGTGACTCATCTACAGGTAGGGATCTCCCAATCGTGCCGAAACAGTATCGACGCAACGTCTTCACAGGTTGCACAAACTTTCTCATCCAGATGTTCGTGCAACCATCAAGCTCATAGCAGGACGGTTTTCTGACCTGGTATGAATAAAAACGTGAGGAAATGGGCATGCTCCTGTGTAAGTTGCCAGAAATCCAAGGTGATTAGACATAACAAATGTCCCTTAGGCTCTTTCAGAACTCCCGATGCTAATTTCGACCATGTTCATCTGGATATGGTAGGAATTTACCACATTCGATTGAATATCCTTATCTCTTAACCTGCGTAGATCGTTTCTTTCGATGATCAGAAGCAGTACCAATAAAGGTCATTACTGCTGAAACAGTGGCCCGCACCTTTGTCGAACGATGAGTAGCAAACTTCGGCTGCCCTTCAACCATCACTACAGATCGTGGAAGCCAGTTAGAATCTGAACTTTTCCGCTGTCTGACCGCAATATTAGGAATCACTCGCTTTCGAACGACTGCCTACCACCCACAAGCAAACGGGTTAGTAGAACGTTTGCACTGACAACTAAAAGCGTCACTAACGGCCGCAAACATTTCTCAGTGGATTGAAACCCTTCCACTCGTCTTACTAGGTATTCGCAATGCAGTAAAAGCTGACAATGGATACACTGCGGCTCAACTCGCTTATGGAACAACACTTCGACTTCCAGGAGAATTCGTGGATCCTCCATCTTCTTCAATGAACATGGATCTAACATTCTACACGAACAGGCTTACAAACGCGGTGCGTTTAGTTAAACCTGTTTCCACTCGACCGTTCAACCTCACTTACGATATAGTACACACGTCTTCATGAGTCTAGACTCACAATGACGATTTCTCGAAACAGCATTCGAAGGATCTGTAGTGACCTACTTTTGTCAACAGAACGCGATTGGTTCAATGAAAACAATTATTATTATAACCAATTGTACCAGTGATTGTTTCACTGTGCTAATGACAGCCAATATACTCACTTACTCTCCCGTTGACTTTGAACTTGTACGAATTCGGTTACGCTTAGTAACCACGCTTGTACTCCTTTGGCACGATCTCGGTATCCTTTTGATACCACGAAATCGCCAGCAAATACGTCTCGACTACAGCCATCATCTGCCTTCTGATATTGACCTACGGGGATCTTATTGGTTAACTGGCACGTAGTCTTCTTATAGTAGTGTTCATGGTCAAGCGCGACTCGACTCCACGCTACAGATCCTTCAAAGTTCTTCAACGCAAACCCAAGTAATATATAGTCGATAAAAACGGAAGTAACGATAGCATCAGCATAGACCTTGTCAAAGCAACGTATTTATAAGGAAATCTTATGCACGTTGATTTTCCTTCGGTCAAATCGAACGACATGGCATTTACACTTATAATATCTCATCCGAC